TATATATATTTATTTATTTATTTATTTATTTTTATTTTTTTTACCACACAGCACATGCTGAACCTAACAGAAAACATGTTGAAAAGCACTATGACCCTATTTATTATTGCATTCTTATGCAATATAGACTAATGTGAAGCAACATAAAATAAATTAAAGTTAAGACGACGTGAAAGTTGAAGTCACTGGGGAAGTGACTGCAGCAGTGCATCTCTTTTATTAAATATAAATACTTGTTTGTGGTTTAGTGTGTGCAGAGATATATATTCCACTGAAGCAACAATGTTGTTGGGATGGAAATATTGCTTTATATAATAAAATGTTTTTGCAATATTCTAACTTGTGGAATTTGCTTGCTGAATGGAAACAAAGCAAATTTTTTACATAGCATTAAAAAATAAAAAAAATGAATGAATAAATGAATCAATGAATGAATTTACACTTTGTGCCAAATAGTGTGCGTGTATATATGTGGGTGTGTGTGAATCATTCATATTGCGTGGCTACAAGTGTGATATTGTGTTTATACAAAAGTTAAACGGCACAAGTATATAAAAAAGAGACAACTATTGAGTGTCTTTAAAAACTCTCTTTTGTGCAGAACTACTTCCTTCCGCCACAGATTCAAATCTCAGTTTGCCAGTTTAACAGCTGAGCTCAAGCCTCCGTTACTAATTTGAAAGCGTCACTTTAGAGCTAGCAATGAAGGAACACTGAGTTGCTTCATTGAAAGCTTATTGCATTGCTACATTTAAAGCTCACTGTATTATGTGGAGTCGAGTATAATGAGATGGACTGAGCAAGAGTGATTACCTGCATCTGAAACAGCATTCTTCAGCTCAATCTCATATTCACAATAAAACATTAGTTTGAATGTCCGCTGATGAAAGCGATATCTTTGTCATTCTATCCGTTCATCTGTGATTTCAGATGACAGCGCTGCTCACTGCATTTGTTGGCTGCGTCTTACAAGGTGTTATTGAAAGTAAAAATAACTTCCTTGTTTACAACCCTGTTTCAGTCTCTTTCAGTATAAAAGTCTTTACTGCTGACTCACTGATAAAAACAGTCTCGTCGCCATCTAATGGCGGAACAATGTAACTAAAATTACGAACACCCACACAGTTTCCCAATACTAAATACTATTATTATTTATTTAAAATACTGTTTATTGATTAATAATATTTAATAAACAACAACAACAGCCATCATAAAAGTTTCTAGGCAATTCAGTCAAAAGTACAAAGGCAGCACTCTGATCTACAGCATTAAAGTTATATAAAATATAACGTAATGAGACTTTGCCCTCAGCCAAAACTATTTGCTCTGGAACAAATAATAGATTAATGAAACTAAAGACTACCCGTTATCAGAAAGAAAGAAGAGAGAGAGTCTTTTTATCTGTAAAAATGAAATGAAATGAGGTCTAGTGGGGAGACACGACCCCTGGGGTCAAATCAGGCCCACCTCAACTCTCTTGAGACCCTCCCCCTCAATCAGCTAAAACTGTTTCAGGAGAGACACACACATACTATCTCATTAAGAGATCTATTGTCATATGCTCTGCTTCAGACTGTGTGACAGCACACACACACACACACACACACACACACACACACACACGTACGTTTCCCAATACTAAATACTATTAATTACTACTATTATTAATATAAAATATGATTTATTGAATAATAATATAAAAACAACAACAACAGCCATCATAAAAGTTTCTAGGCAATTCAGTCAAAAGTACAAAGGCAGCACTCTGATCTACAGCATTAAAGTTATATAAAATATAACGTAATGAGACTTTGCCCTCAGCCAAAACTATTTGCTCTGGAACAAATAATAGATTAATGAAACTAAAGACTACCCGTTATAAACCATGGTATTTTCAGCCCCACCAAAATCTGCGTAGGAAGCATCTTTCTTACTGATCTGTGAACAGTTTTTCATCAGTAAGCACCGATCCTAACTGTTTTTGAAAGACAGGTTTCAGATCAGTGTCAAACAGCCTGTGTGTGTGTGTGTGTGTGTGTGTGAGAGAGAGAGAGCGCTCCCAGTGGACTCTCAGCTCGTTATGATCAGTGTTGAGTGAAGTAAGCTTGGCTGAACTCTGTGAATAAGATTACATGGGCAAGAACGCACCCACACAAACAATAACCTCATGCTGGGTAAAACACACACACATTGACTATGCACACTGATACACATTTCCACATGAAATGTAAAAGTCATTATTTCTGACTAACTAGGAAACACCCACACATACAGTGTCCTCTGTCCTAATCTCTCTGACCCAGATCATCTGACCCCTTCCCCATCATCCATAAGGCAGACGAGCTAAATTAAGGACACACACAGACAGGCAGTGCCAGGCAGCCCAATGCTGCAGCTGCTCCCTCTGCTGGCGGCAATGCGTGAAACACTGAGAATATTATAAAACCAAACACACCTTGAAAGTACAAATCCTCATTAAGTCTTAAATTTGTTGTGATATGACCAATAAAAATAAATCATGTGCTAAACTGAAAGCTGGAGAGGTGGAAAAGCAAACCATGTGCTGTTTTTGTATAAATTCAGAGAAAAGAGAGACACTAAACTTACATTTGGCGTTTGATGTATTCTTTAAGTAAACTCTCCTCAATCGTATACATCTGCATGCGATTGCCGTCGGTGTAGTAATAGACCATGTTAGTGCTGAACTCGGCTGGAACTGTGGACCCATCCAGGTAAGAGTCCCGATAACTGTGGGAGTAGTCATAGCGACCTGAAATAAACGAGAGACGATATAATAAGTTAAAACATGATGTATATTTCTATACATACACTTGACACTGAATAAGTGAAACCTAAACCTCAAAACGAAGTTGTATGACTAAATCTATTTTAACACTTTACACTGAAGACTGATTTTAAAGTTTAAAATGACACTGATCTTAATCGCTTTTAGTTGTTTTTACCTGGATAAGCTTAATATCAAGCCCTGGGTAACCTTTATGTTGCCTTAACACATAAATTTATTTATTTTTTTTAATGGAAAGTTCTTTAAGGAAAGGCAATTGAGTGAATTTTATTTACTAGAATGCCATAAAGACACAAACACACACACTTCAATTATAAAAATCTTCTTTAATTCATTGTCATTGTCATTGTCATAGTCATTGTAAACATAGTCTGACTGTGAGAATGAATGTTTATGTTGTTTAGGGATGTTTATTGGTTACCTCGTCCACGACCTCTGCCTCGGCCGCGACCTTTGCCCCTGCCCCTGAGGCCTCCGCGGACATTGCTGCCCTCGCTGCGAACGCTCGCTGTGTCATCAAAGAAATCTCTATCTCTTCGCCAGCCTGAGGAACACACAAAAGAAAAGGACAAAATAAGTACTCAAAAGTGTAAAATATTTACAGTCATCTTGAATTAAATAATTAACAAATAAGGAACCATTTAATTAAGTAATCAGTATTGTGTAATACTCCAAGGATATTGAGTGTCTGAGTGTGTGTGACTATGCGCACATGTGTGTATGTGTTAAGACATGCGTGTGTGATTTAAAGCATTTACACATCTGAAACCCGCCCAGGCATCATGAGAATTTCTAAGCTCTCAATTCTTTCACTGTATATCTTTTCTCTCTCTTTTTTTAGCTGGAGGTTGCTGCTGGTACATGTGTGATCATGTTCAATTGTACATATTTTTTTCAAAAGTTTGTATAAGTGTTATGACGGTGTGTTGCGTAAATTTTTTTCCCACTTCCACTTTCCAAACCTTTTCTTCATCTAAAGAAATGAGTAGTACTTTTGAAAAGTTTGTTTAACCATTTGATACATGACATTCACCAAAGTGGACAGATGTTTAAAAGCCATTTTTATATAAAACCATGATCCGCACTATTTTTGTTGAGTGCGGATCATGGTTTTATAAACCAAGTAATTTAATAGATTAACGCACCAAAATAAAATATTAAGGGACAAAAGAGCGCGGTGCAAACGGCTTTGTAAAAGCCATTTTTAACCATTCAGGGTTTTAAGTTACATGGGTAATTACCTTTGACCCTTACCCTTACCTTTGACCCTTAAACTCTACATGACTGTTCACTTTACATGCCATTGGTGTTGTTGTTGTTTTTTAATCAAAATACATTATTTTGCAAACAAATTTGAACAATTATTGTCTTTTTTTAACAATTAATCCATCTACAGGCTAAAAGGATCACTTCAGTGAGTGTGTAATGATCACTGATATGAGACTAAGAACCTAATTATATCTGAGTCCCAGCAATGCTGTTTTATTCCACATAGGGGTGGTTTCCCATCATGATGATGAATGCTGGGTAACTCATTATTGGATGTGTTCTGTTGCAGAATAAATTATTCATGGGTAATAAATGCACCTGCGAATAGGAAATTTTTACAATGGCTTCAGTAACCAATAACTTTTGCATGATGCTGCATTCATGCCAACAGGAATTAGTATAAAGCCCAACGGCCACGCTTTCACGAACTGTGAATGGAGTTGTATACACAGTATACAGCATACAGTACTGAATAGTGTATTATTTGATCAGACTGCCAAAATTTAAAGGCATTTTTACACAAAATTGGATCAAAAAGGCGAAGTAACTGTGCTTATTTCCAACAAGAAAACTGTTCAAGCAGCTCTGAACATGCAATGTAAAAAATGAAGAGGTTATTATGTCCACAATGTAGCATACTACTCTCTGAATTGGAGGCAGCATATAGTATATACCGCACAGAACACAGTAACCAGTAAGCTAGTATTTCATTCTTAACACAGCCATGAACATCAAATACGGATATGCATTGTGACTGTGAATGCCTGTTCATGTGTGTTAAAGGGTTAGTTCACCCAAAAATGTAAATTAGGCTGGGGAAGTCGTGGCCTAATGGTTAGAGAGTCGGACTCATAACCCAAAGGTTGCGGGTTCGAGTCTCGTACCGGCAGGGATTGTAGGTGGGGGGAGTGAATGTAGGCCGATATATCGATATCGGCTTTTTTTTACTCCCTAATATCGGTATTGGTCCCAAAAAACCCATATCGGTCGGGTTCTAATTTGTAATATAACTCCGACTGGATTCGTCTGAAAGAAGAAAGCCATATACACCTAGGATGCGTCAGTCTGTCTCACCTCCTCTCCTGTGGGTGGCACTGTTGTGCATTTCCACTCCATCCTCTGTCTCCTGCTCACTCGAAAGTCCTGTGATTGGATCCGACTGCGCCTCCCTGTTCTCCTTACTGTCATTCCCATCACTTCCGCTCTCCTTCTCTCTCTTCTCTCCCCCGCGATCCTTCTTCCTCTCCCACCGTCCAGACGTCCCTTTCCTCACCTGCACGTTTATCACATTCTGCTGCTGCTGAGGGGCACAATCAAGTCAATCTCTCAGTCAATTAAACCTGAACTTAGCAGAACGAAGCCAGCAGTCCAGTCAGTGAAAACCAACACAGATACATTTCTCCCACAAGTCTGCAGGCACGTGATATGGAACGAACACTCTTTGACAGTGCATAAAGCTTTCATTTCATAGATCTTAACTCTGCCCTAAACACTGACAAACATACAAATACATATGCAGAAAGAGAGACATGAAGGCATAGTTCATTTAAAGGGGTGGTTCAGTGGTTTTTTTCAAGGCTTGATTGTGTTTATGGGGTGCAGTCTAACATGTGTTAATGCTTCATTTAAAACAAAACAAACATTATTTTTCACATAATTTACCTTTATTCCACACCGCTCTGTCCCTTCTCTGAGAAACGCACTGATCAATTTCCTGCTTTTATGAAGCCCCTCCCTCAGAAATAGGCAATGGGCTCTGATTGGTTAGCTAGCCCAGTGTGTTGTGATTGGCTAAACCGACTCTAGTGCGCGTCTAAACGTTCCGCCCCCTCACCTCAGCGGCATGTGCTCCGGTTGTATTGTAAACAATGACGTCGTTAATATCGCTTATCAGTTTGAGCTCGATTGAGAAGCAGAGGATATTATTGAAAAGGATCGTGCAGAACCTGTGCAAGCACGGCTTTTAATGGTAGGCCTATGTTTTTTGTTTGTTGTTGTCTCATACTTTTAGATACGCTGTTGTAAATGCTACTGCTTATGTTTCTGTTAATGAATGGCGCAGACGCGCGGTTTCATTTACTACACACACACTGAAGCGCGCCTGACACTCATGGTGATTTCAGCGTCTGCCGTCTCACTAAATGAGTACGTAAACACATGAACAACATCTCCAGAACTGCTCTGAGAGTCACTTCATGAACATTTTAGCATTTGATTTGAGTAAAACTAGCGTCTTATCACATACACAGAACTGTAAAGGTATTCACGGCAACCCGTCAAAATAAAAGTCCGGTTTGATTTGAAGACATTGTGCCTATAACTATTTTTCAGTAGAATGTACATAGCCTACTACTACTACTACTACTACTAAAATGAAACAAACATTATTTTTTTAAGGAATAATCACACAAAACATTTCTTCCATGTTTTAATTTTAATAGTAAATCCCCTTTGTTTGCCAAAAATTTGTTTGCTTAATTTTCAATACTTACAAGATAAATGATAAACGATACATTAAATTAATGTTTTATGCCTTCATTTGATAACCAGAAAAATGTAAATATACAACACAGAATTTCTGAGGGGAAAAAAAATTCATAAGGCTACTTTAAGAAAAAAATGAATTATGGTGAGAAAAAATAAAACATTTCATAGGGCCCTAAACCTGTAATGTTTGTTAAACTTTGAATAAACTGATGTGAAAATTTATAAGTTTCATGATTTTAATTAATAAGACATGCTTTTTAATTAATACAATTTAATTTAACTATTAAAAAGGAGTCGAGAAAAATTCAAACGAAAAAAAAAAACGGAATCCAGAAAAATTAAAATGGAAAAACGGATATTGGAAAAAAATAAAACGGATTTCATAGGGCCCTAACTATCCCTCAGCCTTGCTGTGCCCCCCAGTTTGGGAACCACTGCTTTATTCTTTTAAATGGATACATTAATCGTGTTTATTATATATTTTTTTATTAAAGTGGAAATCAGTTTACTAAATAATGCAAACTTGACTGACTGCTTCACTTCCACTTTAAAGGGATATTCATGTTGTTTATTATTTATTTTTATTTATATTTATAATTTTTGTGCAATTACTTGCCTGTCAGTTGAGTTTGTGGCAAAACATTTTGCAGTGTTTACATGTTGTTTATTACTGCATAAAATTTATTAAAATAGATGTTTAATTTCATAAAGTACAAGTTGATTTCAAAATGCACCTACTTTTTTGGATTTTGTGTTTTTCAGTTGAATAAAATACTATTTTTCCCTATATATTTCATCGAGGATTTCTTTAAAAAAGTCTAAAAATCTCATCTCGTCTCGTTCTCGTGAACCCATTCTCATGTCTCATCTCGTCTCGTGGGATAAGTGTCTCGTCACACCCCTAGTGTGTAATTGTAACGTTTCATTATTGGAGCTGAGCTGAATGAGAGAGAGAGGTTTATCTGGGCTTGTTATGTCATGAACCCGGGAAGTAACTTCTTGTAGTGCCTATGAGCCGTTTTTGTAGGCATTAAATTGCCAGAATTTTAAAAGACGTTATCTCTGTTTGCATTGAACTTTCTGCTTTGTAACTTTGCAGATATTGTTTTTTGCAGCAACATTACACACTAACTAACGTTAAAAAAGTGAAATCACAATGAACCACCCCTTTAAAAACATTTTTTTTCTTCCATGGAACACCAAAGAAGATGTTTAACTGAACGTCCAGGCTGCACTTTCCCATTCAATGAAAGTAAATCGGATCTATACAATCATGGTAAAAAATGCTCCATATTATTTGTGCGCTATAATCCAAGTCTTTTCAAGAAACATGTTGTATGCACACAAATACATGATTTGAACAGTGTTGGGGAAAGTTTTAAAAGTAATGCATTACAATATTGTGTTCCTCCATAAAAAAGTAACTATTTATTACAGTACATTTTATGGAAAGTAATACTTTGTGTTAACTTTTGCTTTACTTTTTGTCACCTGGCCTGGGCTTGCTTATTTGTTTTATAATTTATATAGGCCTACTTGCTTTATTGCTTTATAAATAACAAAAAACCCAAAAGTTATATATTTGTCAACTGTAAAAGCCCTTTCACACCAAAAGTGAAATTAATAAGCCTCAGACTAAAGGAAGTGCCTCTGCACCTTGCTCCCAATTTCTCTCAACTTGGGGACAGTTAAGGTGTTAGTGAATAAATGGGAAAACAAAGTAATGCGTTACTTTACTAGTTACTTGTAAGTCCCAATCTTAGTAAATGTCCTTTTGCCTTTCACAGAAGAAGAAAAAAAAACAATCATGAGGCTCTGGAAAGTCAAGAGGGTGAAGAATGCCAGGATTTATTTCATTTTATAAATGTATAAATCTTTTTTTATTTTATGTTATATTTCTTGAACTATTCCTAAACCTTTTTGACTTGTAGACACCCACCTTCCAAGTTGATATCTGCATATCTAAAAGAAATTAAATTCCATATTTTCTGACGTTTCAAGAACTAAATGTATTTCAGGGTTCACTTCTTTACAACCAATGAATTGTCTTGATAACCAGATATGATTACCGATTTTATTTTTAGCAATTTCTACTTTATGAAATATTTTTGAACTTGACATAACAACAAAAAAATCATATTCATTATAGAAATTGCCATGATTTTTAAACTTCGCTCATATACAGCATCCAGGTCTTCCAAGACTAAAGTAACAAACTAAAATTAGAAATATTAATATGAGACCATTAGTAACAGTATAAATCATACACAGCTGCTTTTCCGTTTCAAGCTGAACATACTAAGAAATGAGTAATTATTATAATGTCCCACATCAAAATCACATGGTAATAAAATAATGTGTCACTGTTTTCATTATGTAAATCAAATAATAAAGGCCTGAAAAAACTGAACAAAATTTCACACAAAACAGCTAGATTTAAATTGAAATGCAGTGTCTTCCTCACCTCCTTATTGGCGATTTCTCCAGGGGTAGGCCAGTTTGTGATGTCACTGAAGTCACTCGACTGCAAATGGGAACGAAGGAAAAGAAGAAACAAGTTACATTGAAAGTTCCCATCCTTCATCATGATCTATTAATTACTACAACAGCCAATTCCTGTGTTAGGAAATAAGTGGGAAACGCAGAAAACTAACATCACCTTATTTGATTTGAACAAACAGAAAAATAAAAAAATATTTTCTAATGAAAATTGAACATTTCAAACTGAAAAGCAATGCGCAGATGCATGCTCTCTCAACGTCCAGTTTGAATGATTTATGAAAAGGCAGCTGCTCCACTCCACTGACATCTGTTCGTCAAATACTCCTCATGTTGAGTTTCCATCTACACGACAACTTTGTCAGTATTTAACATAGGGCTGGGTTTTGACACAAATTTCATGATTCGATTCAATTCTCATTCACAAGCTTGCGATTCGATTCGATTTTCGATTCGATTACCAATTAGATTCAATATCGATTATTTTGGATATATATCAGGTACAGTACATGCCAAATTTTCTCAAGGAAAAAAAAATCTCTCAACTAATGCTGTAAAATATACATGAGAGTCAGTTGGTACTACATTACTATAATACTGAAGGTTAAAATTGACTGATTTGTTAAAATTACACTTAATGAAGTTTTTAAAATAATAAAGTCACAATTACATAATATTTCTACTGGTTTTTTTTTATATAAACGGTGGCTGTCATAAAAACTTGATGAATTTATTCAAACATAAATTAAACATTGAAGAACAGTCAAATTTATAATGAATATGTTATATGGTGCATATATTTAGCAACATGCCCCTCTCTACAGTTTATTTTTCAGCTGACTAATGAGTTTATGGTCACCAAATATGTTTTTCTGAGGTAAATGTGACTACTGGTCGACCGATATTGTTTTTTTGACAGCCGATGCCGATATCTTGGAAAGCAGGGTGGCCGAAGGCCAATATAAAGTCGATATAATTTTATTTATTTTATTTAATATTTAAGAAATTTGAAATCATTTGAAAATGGATTAAAAAAATAAATGTGTAAAATAAACATGCTTATACTTTAAATGGCAAAGTATTTTTCACAAATAAACAAATATTTAATAAAAATATAATTAAAAAACACTGTAACCAACAGGGCACTCAGTATTCTTGGAAGTTTGTGTGCATTGGGAATCACATTTTTTCAAATAAAGCCAAGGTAACACTCATTTTACATACAGCACACAGTGAAAATGACATGAATATGACATTGGGCAAAGAATGAAGCGCAGCATAATTTGAAATCACGAGTTTAAAGTTTGTCAATCGCGCGTCTCAATGAAGCTGAACTCTCCTCCTGTCCGTATTCAATTCGCACGGACCGACCTTTACGCAGAGTACACACGATCGTGCAGGATACAAATGCACACTTCATAAGTTCTCTCAGCTGGATTCGACTAATGGCGCTTTTCCACTGCATGGTATGGCACGGTACGGCTCGGTACGGTTAACTTTTTGGGGGTTTTCCATTTGGTACAGTACCTGGTACTTTTTTAGTACCACTTCGGTTGGGGTTCCAAGTGAATCGTACCGTTACCAAAACGTGACGTGTAAACTCTGCTGATCACGGATTGGCCGGAGAGAATCGTCACTACCTGCGTCACTGAACTTGCGACACAAACACAAAAGAACCGCTAGATTTAAATCAGCACAGCCAGCGAAGGATCGAACGCAACTGTTTTGAACGAGCGCACCTATTTTTAACAACCAAAAAGTTTTGTTGTCTGTTGCGGAAGAACAGACGTTCCTCTCATTGATAGCAGAGGAGCAGATCCAGCGAGAGCTTGATGGGGCGACGCGGAATGAAAAAGTTTTTTTTAGGAGT